GTAAATAGAGATATACTTTACTATTATGTATACTTCAGTCGACAAATAATTAATGAAATATTTTTTCATATTTCATTAATTTGTATTTCAAAACACATGTGAGGGCACAGCCAGACACAGACCCACTGTGTATGCAATGAGTCTAAATGTAAATACAGTACCGATGAAAAAAGTAATAAGCGATACATTTAGCAGATCTTATTATACTATTCTCGTTATAGATTGTGATATCCATGTAATTACTGTGCGTTTAATGATAGCCATTGTTAGCTATTGAGGATTGCCATAGAAGTAGACATAACAGTAGCTGTTATGAGGACTGGCAGTGAAGGCATTGAAGTCGACAATCTTTTTCTACTGGATATGTCGTTATACTCTCTCATCGGTTGGTGTGTTGTGTCGAGAGAGTGAAGGCATACTAATAGTAATTGTATGGTATGATCAACATTATGATGATTACTATACAAAATTACAAACAGACAGACATTTTATGATCATTGGCCACAAATTGCATTCCCAGTAAATAGAGATATACTTTACTATTATGTATACTTCAGTCGACAAATAATTAATGAAATATTTTTTCATATTTCATTAATTTGTATTTCAAAACACATGTGAGGGCACAGCCAGACACAGACCCACTATGTATGCAATGAGTCTAAATGTAAATACAGTACCGATGAAAAAAGTAATAAGCGATACATTTAGCAGATCTTATTATATTATTCTCGTTATAGATTGTGATATCCATGTAATTACTGTGCGTTTAATGATAGCCATTGTTAGCTATATATTGAGGATTGCCATAGAAGTAGACATAACAGTAGCTGTTATGAGGACTGGCAGTGAAGGCATTGAAGTCGACAATCTTTTTCTACTGGATATGTCGTTATACTCTCTCATCGGTTGCACAACACAGCTCTCTCACTTCCGTATGATTATCATTAACATACCATACTAGTTGTAATACTACTAATGATATGTTTTAATGTTTGTCTGTCTGTAAAATACTAGTAACCGGTGTTTAACGTAAGGGTGCCACTCATTCCCATTAATGACAATAGTTTTCAATATATATTATTCACTTGATTTCAATGTTGAGCCAGTCGTGCATTTAAATAGTTTTGTACCCAAAAAACTTGTTCCCAAATATAATTAAAGAGTAAAAATTATCCAATTATCTAATGAACAGTTGGAGAGCACAACAAACGACACTACAATTCGCCTACACTTCTCGTATCCACTGATTATCTCATTAATTATTGTTTACTTCGGATAGAAAAATAACACAACTATTATGTCTATCAATAATATAATTGTTTCCCAATTATTCACTATTTATTATTAACTCTAAGATCAGAGAAGAATATTGTGTTTAAATAAATGACTTTAATTTTCAAAATTTCCTTTTATCTCAAAATAGAGATCTCAAAAATATTTTGTCTATTTCTATGCGGAATTGTAATGAGTTTTTCGCTTTAATAATAAAGTCTAACACAATATTATGATAGCGATAGTAAATCATATGGTATTGAATGCAATCATTTAAACTGTTGGCAAATATATTGAATAGAGAGTAGAAAAGAGTGGAAAAGAAGATTTTTTCGCTTGAATTTAATGATTTGAGTGCTTTTGGAAATTTCATAGAAACTCATTGCTTTAAATCACGTCCACATTATTTGCCAACAAAATGCTCACAACGTTATCGAAGTCTTTGTTTTTTATATATTATTTATTTAAAGATAAAAATTTATTGAATAAAAAATTATTATATTTTTCATATATAAGTGTTAATCGATACAAAATTATAAAATATAATGGCATCGAGTTTATTGTGTTTTATCCCATCCGCTGTCACATAATTTTTAATTGAATGAAAGACTTTGAGATGAAGTTAATTAAATTTTCTGGATTTAAATCTTTCGCAAGAAATTCGTTAACACAAGAAATAACTTAGAGTTGGAGTGCAAAAAACTCAAAGAAGTTAGAAATAGTGTACTTTGTATTCAAATAGTGATGTCTTTCTCCAGATATAAGTTAATAAAAGGAGAGAAAATAGTTGTAAATCTAATGAATTAGTACTTCAGATGTTATTTTCATTTAAATATTTGGTTCAAATATCTGCCAAATTGTAAGCAAAGCGTAGCAAACAGTGAATACATTAAATCTCAACGAAACAGTCGTTACAATTGGTTTGCGTTGAGAGACTCAACACAACGTGTGACTCACTCTTCACTACACAGCACTCAGTCATTACAATTGTGTTGTCTTTTCGGGGCTCAAATGCTCTCTCTCTCTCTCTCTCTCTCTCTCTCTCTCTCTCTTCGGGTTTAAAGTCCTCTCCAATACCAAGGATTACACTGTTGTTTGTGATTAAACTTTACAATAACTAAATCTAATACAATAGGCTGTATTGGTCTGTGTATGCAATGATTGTGCATTCATTACAACACTCTATCCATTAATTTATATTCTATTGACATTTTCTTACAAATATATTCTCTGTATTTTAAAAATGGTTACAATTGATAGTCTAAACATTTTGAGCCCAAAGACTGTGTCGACTGTCTCTGGGGTTATACGATAGTAGAGCCCACTCTCTCGTAGAGCAGGGATTAAATAAGTCTCGTTTTAAACTTTTTTATATACGATAGATATTGAGTAAAATACAATTGGATTAATGTTAGACTCAATGGAAACACTATTTTTAACACAGACTTTACATTTTTGTCATTCCTATCACTATTACTATTATTAAACATTTCAATAACGAAATTAACAAATTGTGGGCATTTATACATAAAATTAATTTTATTTGCTATAAAAATTCCGCCAATTCTATTATCTCTATAGATATAGCATTATGTTTGAGTAATTTTATGGATATTTTTATTGTTATTTATGATGAAAGCAAATGAATATATGGATTGAAAGATTTACTTCCTTTACATAATACGTTCATATAATAGGATTACATATTAAATGCAATTTTTGCATTGGATTTATGGATTTGTCGAATTGTTGCCTTCAATATACAGTGCAATGTACTAATGAAATGAAAAGATTTTATACATTTAAGCTGACTTTAGTATTGAATTATTACATTTTGTTTTTAACTACAATTAATGGATTAATAAGTTTATTTTATCAAAATTAAATTAAATGGCACCACACTATCACGCAAACTCTTAGGCCTCCCTTTCAGCTCAAAATTTAATTAACAAAAACAACATTCAATTAAAAGACCGACTCATTAGGGAGTAAAGCAATCAAAAATTTTCCCTATAAATCAATTGCTTGTGTAATGCTTTGCAAAACAAAGTCAAATGCTTTGCAAACATCATTCTAAGTTAGAATTTCTAACCAAAGAAATAAAAAACCTTATTTAATTCATCAATATATTTAATACACACATCCATTCATACTTATAATGTATACATTTATATGAGACAAAAACAATAAAACATTTATAAATTCAAAAATATGCGAAATATTTTAAACATTTAAAGAGCCCTAAAATTTTTATATTATAAAACTAATACTAATACTAAAAATATTCATTGAATTTATAATAAAATAAAAATCTTTTTCATGTAATTTTCATAAATTTGCATAAAGTTTTCATTTTCTTATATAAATGGACGAAAAGTATGTCTGAACTCATAGACAGTAGTGTCTGATATAGTTAGCGATATATTAGTAGAGGAGAGGTATTAAACACTATATATTCGCACAATTATTGCCGACTTTAAGCTCCTTTAGATTAGTTGTGTTTCGTAATGATTGTATACAGCAATCGACTGCATGTAAATGAAAGCACTTATTATTAGTTAAATTACAATTGTTTTACGCCTCATATAAACACTGCATTTGCAGAAAATGAGCGCAAATTCTTATATGCATTAACCGCTCAATTAAAGTAATTATTCGCAAAATTCACGTCAACTTTATTTAGCCATTTGTTTGACTTTACGTTTCAAATGAAAATTATAAAAATAAAATTAATTAATCGTTTTTAAGATTTAACGCACGAATTATAATTGGATAACATCTATGCATAATTATTTGCCATTAAAATTAACAATTTTTAAAATAATAATAAAATAATCTCTATATTGATAATAATAATATACAAATTTAATTATTAAATTTAATTATTAAATTATTAAATAAATAAAAATTATGGACATTATAATAATGACAAAAATTAAACACAAATCTTCAGTGAATTTGAATTGAAGTCTTAGTTTGTTTTTATAGCGCAAGTAATTGATAGCAAAACTGAATTCTGTGTCACATATAATAGCAAACAGCTATCGCTTTGGCACTAAATTCTCGTTATCTCTGATATGTTTGACAAATGTATAGCAAAATGCGAGGAGAAAGAAAGAGAGTTGTGTTATGACATACTTTCCCACTTCAAACTGTCCGATTTGAAACGATAAGAAAGTCAGTTCAACGATATCTCCGTATTGATGACCGGCCGCAGCAAACGTCACCCGACAGACAAAGGGCTGGAATCGCTGGAAGGGCTCGTTTAGTCGGAACGGGTATTTGACCCCAACCTCACCAAACAGTGTTCGGTTGCAATCTATGAAAAATTCATACAAAAATGACATTTTATTTGTTTTGTGATTAATAACACGATCGCAAGAATAGTGCCATTTATTTGCTATAAAAATAAGTGTAAACTTCGGATATGAGCTCTATTTATAAACCACTAAAAATATTATGTATTATATAACTCAAAGTATTCAATATCTTTGCAATTATTGTATGCATTATACTAATAGTCATTTAACGTGAATCCAATAGACTATTATAATTAATATTTAAATAATAAAAACTTAAATAATTTCATTCAATACAATAATAATCTGCTTATTATATAAATAATATACAATAAGTGAAATTATGTGTTGTATTATATATGAGAAAATATTGTGTGTCGTTAGCGAAGCGAATGTAATGAAAGAAACATTGAAAGGACTGAAAGAGCAATTTGTTGACGTCTTTCTCTCATTAACTCCTTCTATGGCTTAATATAATAGCTGTAAAAGAAAGTGAAGAAAAATTGCGGAAATGAACAAAATTTGCTAATATTTGATAAGTAAGAGAAAAACATTAGGAGGGAGTGAAACGAAATGGCAATTGAGATGTTAGACTACAGGAGCTATAATAGTGATAGTAGTAGTGGACGACATACTGGTGCAGGCGATGGGTTCATCGGATTGGTCGCCGCAATCATCACTTCCATCGCAATAACGGCTGAAAGTCACGCACTTTCCGTTATCGCACTCAAACTCAAGCAAACTCTTGCACTGGTGTTGAGTCGGCGATGGATGTGCTGATGACGGCAGCGATGGCTGAGATGTTTCAAAGACAGCGGCTTTGCTATTATCATCGGCAGAGGCACTCATACTCCAAACACCATTCCTCTTGGGCTCACTAAACACAATAACAATAATATTGAGAGTTATATAAAAAGATAAATATTGTGTTTGATTGCGGAGACGTTTTCGCTTTGTGTCTCCAAATAGAGAAACAAACGATTACTGTTATTACCTGTCATTTGCTGATGAGGCCGATGATGATGATGACAGGGCCAACACAACCACCGACGTCAACACTGCCAGCGCTGCCAATTTGGTGGAGAGTGTGTTTGCTTTGGGCCGAGAGCTCGCACTCAATACACCCGACGATATACTCAACACAATTGAGGACCACATGAGTAGTCGTAGAACTCAATCATCATTTTCTACAACTCATTGAAAATCTTCTCAAGATTTCACACATTTTTGTCAATCGATTGGCTCTTTATTTAAGGGATAGAAAAGAAACGTTGAAAAAAGAAAATTAGTTTTCATAAACAAAATTTTATTAAAATATATGATCGAAATTATATCTATCATTGGAAATGGCTATAAATTTCAATTCAAATGAGCTAATAATGTGTAATAATGTAATGCAATCATTGGTCTCATATAAGACCTGTCGGTAGGAAAAAGAAGAGAAGAGTGTCTTAAGTGTTTTGAGTGTTGAGATGTGATGTGAAGAGAAATAGCGCTTACATATGGCTTAGTCTTTCGCAACACAAATGTCTGCATCACTTGATTACTGAATTACACAAAAGGGAAGCTTTGCTTAAATTTATTAAATTAGAGACCTTTTAGGCACTCATTTCCAGTTAAGAAGAAGAGAGAAAGAGAGACAACTAATCGAAACGGTAAAACCAATGCTGAAAAGTTATTTCATTATATGTTTCATAACAAACAATTACCATACGATAGCATATGATAGCAATTCATTTCGTTTTGTTTGCAAAAATATTATAATATTATTAGAAAGAATTGAAACGAAACGAAATTGAGTTTTTTGTTTTAGTTTCCATTAATTCAAATAAATTTCACTCAACAAATGTGTTTAAAGGTTTCAATAAAATATAGCACAGAATACACATACAAAAAACAATACAATACAAACGCGATTCCAGAATACTATATAAATTCATACAGTATTTCATTACTAGAAAAGTAGCAGAAATAATATACACTTGTTATGAAAAAATGATTTCAATTGAGGAGATGTCACGCAAACCGTATATTTGACAGAATAACAGAATAGTCTACAGTATATGTATATAATATACGGAATTGTCTCAATACATACGTGTATTATAGGTATAAATCGAGAAAATAGCTTTCGGTTAGATTTAAGTCATTGTGTTGTCTCTCACTTTACTTTTATGTCTGTCTAGTAATTGATGTCTTCTGTCATTACTATAATCATTGAATTGCAATTGTTTTTTCGTTTTGAGGCAAATATTTTTTATATTTTAATGAACCATAAAATGCTTATTTCTTAAGTAATAAATTCAATAAAATAATGCTTAATAAATAGCGAATTCTTAACATATAAAACATACATTATAATCATTATTATGTAATATAAATATTATCATTAAATAAGTATCATTAGATCAAATATTAACACATAAAACATAATCACTTTAATATAAGTCTAACCATTGATTTACTTATATTTAAACAGAAAACTAATGACATTATCAATGGTTTAGTGAGTTTTGTGTCACAATATTCGCCGAAAACCAAACACTCGGCTCTTCAATGACTAATATTCTTATATTTTCTGTGCATTTCTTTCTTTCTTTTTGTGTGTTATTTATTTGTCGGCAAACAAACAAAATAATGTCATTTTGTAGACAGAGGTTATGCAGAGTTATGTGTTTTAACACCAAAATAGAAACCATTGACTGTTAACAGAACTGTTACTCTTTGTTCGCCAAACCATTAACTCGTTTATCAAAACCAGTCGTTTGTATGAATGAATTTAGAGTTAATATATTTAATATATATTATATATAAGGCATTGACTGTAATCCCCGATGAATTCAAGAATATATTCACAACACAAAAAACTTTCTTTCATTTATTAAATTAAAATATTTTTCTACGTAAAGCATAGAATATAGTGTATAATAATAATAAATACTTTATTTCAAAACCCATTTGAGGCATTCGTTTTGTTGTATTTTCATTTCTAACTTAAAATTTGATTTCATATTATGTCTGGATTTCAATCATCGACCAGAGTTTGGCTTCAATTGGATTGAATTACAGGAAAATATTATGTTTTTTTTTGTAAAATAAAAAGCAAAAACAGCAGTAAATGTATGGCTTGTATGGCATTCAAGTATAAACAAGAATAGAGTCTAAAGGATGAGAGGGTTGTTTGGCTTAAAGAAAGAGAGTGAGAGCACACATCATACACACCATTGTATTATACAATATAAATACATTTTAGAAATTTTACAATATTATTGGCAAACATTTGGTCGTTATTTCACACAAACACAAGCATAACATAAACATGTATTTCTAGGCAACGAATATATATTTTTAAAGCCGATTCTGTAATGGATTCAATACATCGAGGTTTTTGTAAAAGAAATAGTGAAAGAATTGTCAACCGATTATTGCTTACTATTATTCATGTGATATTCAGTTCGCAAATAAGAGACGAAGGGCTCAATAAATTTACAAAACAGATAAAAAGACAAGAAATACTGTATTTCAAGAATAATACATATTATAGTAATAGTATAGAGAGTATAAGAACCCAAAACTAGCGTTATTTACAGCACAATCTCTTTACTTATGTTAAGAGATCTAAACGAGTGATTCTCTCTCTCTCTCTCTCTCTCTCTCTCTCTCTCTCTCAGAGACGAACTGAAACCCAATGTATTTCTATTACAATAAATTCTGTTTTTATGATCTCTTCACCACTTGTGATAAGTTTGAAGGGAAAGAGAGCATAAGAATTGTATTCATCGTTATATTTTCACATAGTTTCTCTCTCTCTCTCTCCCTCTCACTAACTCACTCTTCTCTTCTCATTCACTCATCATTTCCTATGCGAAGGAAAACAGAATGAGAATAAATGCAGAGAAAACACATTGACATAAATGTGTAAATATAATAACCAAACCATTGATTCAATGAATGGTGAGATGAGAGCGTCAAACATATCCGAATGAAAGTTTCTTTAGTGTAATAGTAATGCATTTGATTTGTTTATTTAGGGCAAAGTATCCAAAATATTATCCATTAAAACAATGTATTATGCATTGCATTAAAATGTTTGAGTGTTTGCGTTAAATAGAAATATAAAGAGACGAAACGTGTGAAACAAATTTGAATAACTCATGTGTAAAGCGAATGCATGTATTGGGCGGGAATGGGATGGCATCAGTTTGGATGTTATGATCCGATGCCTCTCCGAGACATGGATTAGAAGTAATCTGAAGAGAGGATCTGCTCTCTTATAATCAGTTCAGTCGGAAGTCACACAAAAAAATTTAAATTTGAATTGACTTTTCAATGTCTTTTGTCAACACAAAAAGTCCCCATATTTTGAAATGAATGACAATTTTTCGCTCCGAAGGGAATCGACTCTTTCATGGAAAGTGAGGCAAAAAATTAATTGTTTTATACTCTTTAAAGATAACATCTTTAATCCTATTTATAAAATAAATAAACATTTTTTTCAGCGAAACTTTTAGCGACGGTTTCTATTCATTGATTAATAAATAACTGAAAGCATAAAAGAAAGGAAATATTCTTCTCGAAGAAAATCTCAACAGTTATTCATATTATTTATAAATATTATTATTATTATTACTTTGTTATGAAAATGGATTTTTTATATTGAATAAACAAAAGCATTAATCATTTTTTATAGACATTTGCATTCTTCTCAAAACAAAAAAATTATGAAATATGTGTTCACTTGTATTGTATGTTTAATACACTGGATATTAAAGTATTATTTGCTATTTTTATATTCAAAATCTATTATTGATTGAAAGTCAGCGCAAAAACACAATAAATTCACAGAATATTAAACAAGATTTAAGAAGACTATCATTGAATACTTGATAATTATTTTTTGTTTAGAAAATGATAGTAAAGCCCAAAAAAGCTATTTTATTGTAATAAAACTAAAATTTTATATTTCAGAACTGAATTCAATTTAAGAAAATGCTTTGAATCTGAATAAAATGCAAAGTATATAAAAGTCTGGGAAACAGTAATAATGAACTGACATTTCAATAGCTTAGCAACAATTGGAATATCAATATAATGTTAAATACAAAAATATGTATGAATTCATGAATTCTGTATTATTATTGAAATACTTGTCTAAATAAAGAGAAAAATATTGAAAATGCAATTATTTATCCCTATTTTTGTAAATATCATTTGCCAAATGGCTTTCAATTTACTCTCTCTCTCTCTCTCTCTCTCATCGACCAGAGTTTGGCTTCAATTGGATTGAATTACAGGAAAATATTATGATTTGCATTCTTCTCAAAACAAAAAAATTATGAAATATGTGTTCACTTGTATTGTATGTTTAATACACTGGATATTAAAGTATTATTTGCTATTTTTATATTCAAAATCTATTATTGATTGAAAGTCAACGCAAAAATACAATAAATTCACAGAATATTAAACAAGATTTAAGAAGACTATCATTGAATACTTGATAATTATTTTTTGTTGAGAAACTGATAGTAAAGCCCAAAAAAGCTATTTTATTGTAATAAAACTAAAATTTTATATTTCAGAACTGAATTCAATTTAAGAAATTGCTTTGAATCTGAATAAAATGCAAAGTATATAAAAGTCTGGGAAACAGTAATAATGAACTGACATTTCAATAGCTTAGCAACAATTGGAATATCGATATAATGTTAAATACAAAAATATGTATAAATTCATGAATTCTGTATTATTATTGAAATACTTGTCTAAATAAAGAGAAAAATATTGAAAATGCAATTATTTATCCCTATTTTTGTAAATATCATTTGCCAAATGGCTTTCAATTTAATCTCTCTCTCTCTCTCTCTCTCTCNAAAAAAGTGATCAATAGATGAAATGTGGAGGAAAAGAGCGCATGACTTGCAGTGAATTTCTTGAACACAATTGAGAGTTAGTTGAGTGCAAGCGTCGGACGAATGCAATTCATATATCTCTCTGGCATTCACTGCAAAACTATGCCATCACTCGTGAGCCAAATGTATGGCATAAACAGATATTTGTCCGCAAAATACTGGTAGAAGTGCTTCACATAAAAATGTATACTTAATTTACGGATTCAATTCATACCATATCTATAAATAAACTTTTTATATACAAGA